GTATGCTTAGAGAGACAGCAGATTAGTGATTAACTGTGGCCTGGTATCAGAGTGGGGATTGTTTGGGAATAAGTTTAGATAGTTTTTTTGTAGGGTCTTAGAAATGTTCTTAAATTTTGGTAATAGTTACATAGCTAGATGAATATAATTTTGTAAGTATACAGTGGATAAGTTGTGTGGTATATAAATTATACCTAAATCACACTTTTAAAAAATGCCTGTGATCTGTTGGATCTAAAAGAAATTTTGATTAGATGGTTTTAAGGTTTGTAAGCTCACTTACTAGACTTTGCATTGGAAGTTTGTACTTAGAAAACTGTATCCTGTGTCCTACTCTATACAGAATCTACCACAAGCTTGTTGAGGAACATTTGGTGTGTGATTCTACTGATGGACCCAGAGTTAGACGTATTCCATTCAGACTGACTAGAGAAAGGTGCCTTCAAATCCTGGATTATAGCTTACCTCTTTGTAGACAGTTTATATATATATTCTGCTGATTGTTAGTGAAGGGATCGTGTTTGTGCTGCTGAAAGTGGAGAATCTAAAGCAGTGGTTTTCAACTTGTGGGTGCAAACCCTTGGGGTTGTCGAGCAGCCCTTTCACAGGGGTCACCTAAAACCATCATTAAACACAGACATTTATATTATGATTTCTAACAGTAACCAAATTACAGTTATGAAGTAGGAATGAAAATACGTTTATGGTTGGGAGTCACCACAACATAAATTGTATTAAAGGGCTGCAGAATTAGGGAAGGTGAGAGCCACTGCACTAAAGGTGCCGTGTGAGACCAGGATATTTTGGACAATACTAGGTGCTGTCCATAAAGCTCTTTTCCGTGGCTTCACTCACAGTGCTAATGATAGATACAGGATGTGTCTTAAATTCCCTGTGGTCTAATTATCTGTTATGCAGGTATTTATTTTAGTCCCATTTTTAGACAACATCCTTAAAGTCATGTAATTGTCTTCTTTTCTGTGTCTACTATTTGATTTTTTTCTAAGTTAAACCACATAAAACTTTGTCTGTTGAAATAGAATTCTTTATTGATGTAGTTAAAGCTTATTGATATTCTAGATTTAAGGAAATGTCATACAGAATATCAGAAAGAAAGCTCTTTGGTTTCTTAAAAGAACTTCATTAATTTCTAGGGAGTCTAGGAATTTCATCTAAGTAGAATCATGTATATGTTATATATAGCTTATATATAATATAACTTCAAATAATTCATAATTATCACAGCATATGTGGAGTGTAGATGGATTTTTCTTTCGGTCACCAGCTCACAAAAAAATGACATGGAGACTTATTAATTATAAAAGCTCATCCTTAGCTTAGGTTTGTTTCTAACTAGTTCTTATAACTTAAATTAACCCATATCTTTTAATCTATGTTCTTTTATATGGCTCAGTTACTTTTATTCTGTACTCCCCATCCTGCTTCCTCTCTGGCTGGTGACTTGGTCGTCTTCTTCGTCTCTCTGCCTGGAAATCCCCGAAGTTGCCTGCATTGCTATTAGCTGTTCAGCTTTTTATTATACAAATCACAGTAATACATCCTTACAGTATACAAATATTCTCCCAGTTTTGTCTAAATAAAAAGGAAGGTTTTAACTCCTAACATAGTAAAACTATATACAATAAGAATAATTAATCAGGTAAGAATTGCATTTACAATGTTCAGTCTATTTGTATTTGACACATTCAGAGAAAATACTGTATTATCTATCCTATCTTGGTGAGTCAAAAGTTTTGAACCTAATTTACTTTGTATCCTAACTCATACTATAACTATAACTCATACAACATAAAACTATCCTTTTAGGCCTCAAAACATTTTCTTAGATAAACAACTTAGGTTTTAATGTCTCTCAATCTTATATACTTTACACCTCTTTTGAGGTTGTTGTTGTTTTGTTTTGTTTGACACAGGGTTTCTCTGTAGCTTTGGAGCCTGTCCTGGCACTCGCTCTGTAGACCAGGGTGGCCTCGAACTCAAAGATCTGCCTGCCTCTGCCTCAGGAGTGCTGGGATTAAAAGCGTGTGCCACCACAGCCCAGTTTGGAACTAGCTGTTGTATACCAGGCTGGCCTCAAACTTTTGAGATCCGCCTGCCTCTCCCTTCTAAGTGCTGAGATTAAAGGCATGCACCACCACTGCCCAGCCTGAAGCAGGATTTTTGTTTTTGTTTTTAATCTGAAGGCTTTTTGTTTTATTTTCCTTTCCATGACCACAGTTCTTTTTTGTTTTTTATATATTTGTTTAATTGAAATTTATTGAGCTCTACATTTTTCTCTGTTCCCCTCCCTGTCTCTCCACTCTCCCTTTCAATCTTTCCCCAAGGTCCCCATGCTCCCAATTTACTCAGGAGATCTTGTCTTTTTCTACTTTCTACTTCCCATGTAGATTAGATCTATGTAAGTCTCTCTTGGTGTCCTCATTGTTGTCCAAATTCTCTGGGATTGTGGTTTGTAGGCTGGCTTTCTTTGCTTTATGTTTATGAGTGTTTTTGTTATGTTTATGAGTGAGTACATGTGATAATTGTCTTTCTGTGTCTGGGTTACCACACTCAAAATAATGTTTTCTAGTTCCATCCATTTTCCTGCAAAATTCAAGCTGTCGTTATTGAAGCAGGAATTTTTAAGGACTGGCCTACCTTGCTTGGCAAAGTTTGGCAGTCATTGTCTTGTGTCCTGCTAGTCCCGTTTGGGTAGCATACTGTCAGCAGTCGAGGCAAGGGCAAATTCTTGCCCAAGTGGCTAGTTTTGCCATAAAGAAGGCAAACTCCATATGGAGGTTCTTTGATGCCCATCATTCGTTTTTAAGTAAACCTCGGTGTTGCCAAGGGCAGATGTGTCTCATTGTCATGAAAAAAGCCTTGTTATTAAAACATTTTACATGCCATATTCTGTAGGTTTTTAAAGTGTTGGAAACCATCATTCTATCAAAAATATCTTATGTATGACCTTTGAAAACAAATTTGATTATTATAGATGACTATTAGCCTGCATTTTTAATTATCCTAAATGGTTTATAATAATAGCTTTTAAGGACTAGAGTTTTACATTTTTAAATGAGCTGCACAGGTACAATACCTTACGCAGGAGTCGAAGCATAAATATAGTATAACAAATGTAACTTTAAAATTGTATCAATATATAAAAATCCATTCTGATATAAAATATTTGACACTACTGGTTGTTAAAAGTAGACTCAACAATCGACCCTTTATCTCATCATTTCTATACTATATCCCACTTTTTTGCCTTCAGAAAGAGATCCCTGAAACTAATCTATTTTGTTCAATTTTTCCCCTCCTTATGACCACCAACAACTTATAACTAACCCTCTGAAATGATTATAAATATCCATAATCCACTGAGCAACCAGAAGCCACCCGCCCCTCCTCTTGGGAATGTGAGCATTAAGTTCCCTAGGCTGCTTCCTGTTGTCTTTAGGGGATGAGGGTACTCCTCATCCTGCTTCCTCTCTGTCTCAACTCTGCCACCTTCTTCCCAACATTTTCTCTCTGCCTGGAAATCCCACCAATCTTTCCTGCATAGCTATTGACCATTTTTATTACACATGTCACAGAGATACATCTTCACGATATACAAATATTTCACAACAGTGGAGGTCAGATGATGACTTGCAGAAGATGGTTTTCTCAATCATTTGGGTTCTATGAGTTAGTTGAACATAGGCCATCAGGTTTAAGTACCAAGTACTTTTTCTGCCAGATGAAAGCTTTTTATTTGTATCCCAAGTTGTTAGGTGGCACAATGTGAGTTTTAACCTTCTTCATTCATATTTTGTGAAGACATAAACACAAGTATACCTACTCCTATAAAATTCAAGATAATCTGGTATGTTTTGGATTGAGCTCCTCCACAGCAACACCTTTTTGCCCCTTGAAGAGTGGTGCGAGACAACATGCTGTAGTTGGAAAGTGGACGGCATGCAATGTCTCCGCAGGGGATCAGTAGCCAATATTACACTGTTATGCTTGCTTTGCTTTGGGCAAGCCTCCAATATTTGAGACATCATCCAGTGCGTTTATTAATATAGACAATTAAGGCCTCATCTCTGATCTACAGTAAATACTGAGGAGTGTGTATTTTTAATACAACACTAGATGATTGTGGTATACAGCCAGGTTTGGAAAACAGTATCTTTGAACCTCATGCTTTCCTTCTTTCCCTTCTTTTTTGTTATTAAATTTTTAAAATTTTTTATTTATCTGTTTACCTATTTATTTATATTGATTTTTTGAGGCAGGTTTTCTCTGTAGCTTTGGAGCCTGTCCTGGAACTAGCTCTTGTAGACCAGGCTGGCCTTGAACTCACAGAGATCCACCTGCCTTTTTCTTTTGTCTTTTTTTTTTTTTTAGAGTTTATTAATTTATAAAAGTTTCCATTTCCGCCCCTCCTCCCAACACCCTCCCACTCCCCCCACTCCCTCTCCATCCCTAAGAGCAGTCAGGGTTTCCTGCCCTGTGGGAAGTTCAAGTTCCTCCCCCCTTCCTCCAGGTCCAGGAAGGTGAGCATACAAACAGACTGGATCCCAAAAATCCAGTATATGCAGAGGAAACAAGTCCCAGTGTCATTGTCAATGGCTTTTCAGAAAGACCCCGTGCCAGCCACATTCAGAGAATCCGGCCACATTCAGAGAATCTGGTTGGATCACGTGCTCGTTCAGTCCCAGTCCAACTGGCCTTGGTGAACTCTCATTAGATCAGTCCCCTTGTATCAGTGGGTGAACGAGGGCACCCCTCGCGGTCCTGATTTCCTTTTTCATGTTCTTCCTCCTTCTGCTCCTCATTTGGACCTTGGGGGGGTCTTTTGTCTTTTTGATTCTTGTTTAGTACAACTTTATTCTCTCTTTTCCATCTTGTACATGAGAGGAAAGTTTGGAAAACTAAATTAACAAGAATGATTCTCTCTTACATTTAAATTGTACGACAATTAATTTATGACTAAAGGTTATGGGTTTTTTTAAAATTATAATACACACTTCACGACTTTGAGTGCCATCCTTGCACAGGGCCATACTAATCTCTGTGTCGTTCCAGTTTTAGCACATGTGCTGCCGAAGCGAGCACTAAAGCCTATGTTTTTATTTCATTAGCAGGAAAGATTTGGCGACTTATTTTTGTTATAGAATTTGGATGCTGGGCTGTGGTGGCACACGCCTTTGATCCCAGCACTCGGGAGGCAGATGCAGGCAGATCTCTGTGAGTTCAAGACCAGCCTGGGCTACAAGAGCTAATTCCAGGACGGGTTCCAAAGCTACAGAGAAACCCTGACTCGAAAAACAAAACCAAAAAACAAACAAAAAAAAAAAAAAGAAGAAAGAAAAGAAAAAAAAAGAATTTATAGAGTTGCTCTTTTATTTTAGTTTTTGTTATCACAAAATGGGTGTTTTCCATCTTTTTTTTTATTATTTTAAGAACATATTTTGTAAAGGTAAGAGTAGATGGGCCTCATAGTTTTGGTTGAGAGATTTTTTTTTTAATATAGTTGAACCATAAAAGCCAGAGTATTCATAATAAGACATAGTCATTCAAAAGAATGAGAAAGAGCCGGCGGTGATGGCACATACCTTTAATCCTAGCACTTGGGAGGCAGATGCCAGCCTGTTCTACAGAGCCAGTTCCAGGACTGCCTCCATAGCTACTGAAAAATCTTGTTTCAAAATACCAAAACAACAACAAAAGAAAAAATTGATGGGGACGGGGAGGTGGTTCATTAGATGAGTGCTTGTCATGCAGACGTGAAGCCTTGAGTGTGCTTCTCAGCACTCTTGTAGAAACTGGGCATGGCAGTGAGGAGCAAGAAAGTGGAGATAAGAGGCTTCCTGAAACTTGATTGCCTTCTGGTTTTGTAGAATAGCTATGCCCCAGGTTTGTCAATAAAGTGGAGAGTGATTGAAGAATATATTTAACTCCTGCTTCTGACTTATACACGCACTAACATATGTACACACACACACACACACACACACACAGGAACTACAGTTATTGGTAGAGTGCTTATTGATCATACATAAAGCCTCTGGTTCACTTTCCAGCACCATGCACACGAAGCTTTGTGGTGCACACCTGTAGTACTAGTATTTGGGAGGGTAAGGCAGAAATCAGAAGTTCAACGCCACTTTGAGCTATCTAGTGTGGAATAATAAGACCTATTTAAAAAAAATAGTCAAAATGACATTTGTTTGCTCAGTGTATATAACTGAGTGAAAATGTAAGTTGAAGAGCATTGAGCTCAATTTGTTACCATTGAACTTCCCCAAAATTAGTTATGTCTCAGTTGTTTTTTGACTTTAACTTTATTTATGTGCATTGATGTAAAGGTCTCAGATCCCCTGAAATTGAAGTTGCAGACAGTAGTGAGCTGCCATGTGGGTGCTGGGAATTGAACTCAAGTCCTCTGGGGGAACAGCAGTCTTCAAGAGTATAAGATTTTAACTTCATGGTCTTTACTGTTTAGGAAATACTATCAAGTGGATATTCTCACGTGGTTTTCACAGAGGGAATGCATTTAAGATGGATTTAAAATAATGAGAATGTTTCTTTTTAATTTAAAAATTATGAAAGCATTTTTAAGTATGATATTAAGGCATTATTCATTTTGCCTGTGATAATATAATTTCCTTAAACTTGGTATGTTTGAGAAAAAAACGAAAAGTACTAGGAATAATAGAGTTTCCTTCGTATTTGAAACAAACTAAAGAAGCTTTAGGTAGAAGTTTGGAGTCCAACCTGGAACAGTGACGATCTGGTGATTATCTGGGAGTATTTTTGCCTCCTTGTGTTTTTTGGTCCGCAGTTTCCATTCATTGATCAGTGAGTTGATTGACATTCAAACCCACCGACAGCAATGAATGTTGAATGCAGCCATCAGTGTTTCCAGTTGATGAGATTGCTTTGATCTTTCTCGTCTCCTGGGTCATCTTCTCACAATGGTTCTTTGAAGTCTGTTACATGTTAGTGACCAGCCAACTGTACGGTTAAGGACTCGTAATTATAGATAACTTTGACTGCAGAGCAAGAACTTAAAGACAGAAAAGTTATGAAGAGGAAGATGCTGTCTAAAACTTCACATGGGCTGGAGTGTTGATGTCTGTAAAGCAGAGCTCAGAGACATCGATTCATCTTTTCTTTCAAACTGAGAAGTCTTAAGTACCTATTTTCAAGGTAAAGTAGCATAGATTATGTTTGTAGTTAGGTAATAGTTTATGTAGTAAGCATTTGCTATGAGCTAGAAATAGTTCAAATTACTCTCACATTTTCTCATTAAATCAAAACTGGGAGGGATAGACTGTCATCTCCCTTTCTAGACTTGAGAAAGCCAACTTGGATACTTAGGGTTACACAGCTAGAGGTGACCCAAAATTCATTCTGTATCTTTTTGCTTGAAATTAGGAAGTATTTAAATAAGCACATAGTGGTAGAAATCAGCAGTACGTAGCAGGTGCTTTAATGGGGACTGTCAATCCTAACCACAGTGTACAATTGCAGGTGCAATATAGTAAGTTTTATGAACATTAAACAGTGTTATGCTATTTTTGCTGACTAAATCCTCTCCTTACCCTTAAAGCAACGTCTTGAAAGAATGTGGAAAAAATAGCAATAAAATATTTAATTAGGTTTCATTTATATACTAAATAAATATTTTTAATATACCCTATTTCTCACTAGAATGGGACATTTCTTGTTTTCTCTTTTTCTTTTTTTTTTTGTTTTTGTTTTTCGAGACAGAGTTTCTCTGTAGCTTTGGAGCCTGTCCTGGAGCTAGCTCTTGTAGACCAGGCTGTCCTCAAACTTAGAGATCCGCCTGCCTCTGCCTCCCGAATGCTGGGATTAAAAGCCTGCGCCACCACTGCCCGGCTAGAATGGCATATTTCTAGAAGACACTTGAGTGCATTTGGTCCTTTGGTGTCACTCCTTATAAATTGTTAAAGTGAAGCCTTTCACTGTCAAAATATTTCAAACGAAATCAGTGAACAGTGTAAATACATAGAAACATTAAAAAAGTTTCTGGTTACCTTTAGAGAACAGAACATATTACTATTTCGTGTGATGTCATATGATGTGTCAACACAGCCTTTCAGGAAATTTGTTGTCTGTAAGGATCCCAAGGTACAGTCAACGGTTGGTGGTTTTTTCCTTTTTAATCCCAAACTCACCGACAGCGTTGAATGTTCCACGGAGTCCTCTTAAAGCTGGCTTGGTTGCTTGTATTTGGTCTGCTTTCATGTTCTAAGGACCAGTGAGCAGTGACTCCACTGCTGTTGGGTCTCTCTTATGGTTTCCAAGGTTTCAAGTTGAGTGTGCTTAAATTGTGGCATTAGTTTGCATACAGCAGAAAGGTGATGAGCTGCAGGGTTGTGAGATTGCTAATTATACTGCTGACTTAAGTGGACATCTGTGCAAATGGTTTTCAGTGGATTATTGTTCTGAAGATGTCATTTACCAATTTTATAGTAATATTTTAATTATTAAGGTACAAGAATCAGAAAGACGGTAACATATATTAGGGGCTGTTGTGTATGTAGTAGGGTTTGTCTCTTTAACTCTAGCCCATGTTTCCCTGAGAAAACCCTGACTTACTCATAGCCAGCGCTTGAACAGCGGACTTGGTGGTTCAGTGCTCACTGTTGTACTGCTTCTTCCTGCCCACCACAGGACTTGCTCATAACTTGCGTAGGACTTTCACTTCAGAGCTATATCAAACAAGTAAATCCTTATTTGCCTGTAATAATAGAAAGTAGATCCAAAGCCATATGTTCCAGAGGAAAAGATGAAAGCAAAACTACTGAGTTCAGAACCATGGGCCACTAAATTAGCACAGATGCCTCATGAACTATTTTTCATACTGAAAGAACAAAATTTTATGTATACTGTAGTGTACAGAATGGAGCTGGACAGATGGCTTAGCAGCCAAGGACATGTACTACTCTTGCAGGGAACCTGACTTTGATTGCCAGCACCCACCTTACAACCACCTGTAACTCCCAATTCCTATTGCACGGGTCTGTTACCTCAAGCCTTCATGGACATTTGTACATATCACACATATATACACATAATTAATGAAAAGTCTTAAACCGATTGCAGAGAGTAAAATGCCAGATGTATCTGACTTTTGTTTTGAGTGGTGTTTTTTGTTGTTGCTTACTTTTGTTTTTTTGGTATTTTTGAGACAGGGTTAGCTTTGGTTCCTGTCCTGGAACTAGCTCCTGTAGACTCAGCTGGCCTCAAATTCACAAAGATTCACCTAGCTCTACTTCCCTAGTGCTGGGATTAAAGGCGTGCACCACCACCACCTGGCCTGAGTATTTTTATTACTTATTAACTGACTTTTTTCTCCCACCCTTCCTCCTACCCTACCTTCCTCCCTCCCTTCTTCTTTTTATTCCTCACAGAATCTCACTCTGGAGCCCTGGCTGCGATCTGCCTGTCTCTGCCTCCTGAGTCCTGGGAGTCAAGGTGTGCGCCACCACCTCCAGCTCAGATTCATCTGTGTGTATCTGTATATGTATGTATTTCGGGTTTTTCGAGGCAGGGTGTCTCTGTAGCTTTGGAGCCTGTCCTTGAACTCCCTCTATAGATCAGGCCTTGAACTCAGAGGTCCACCTGCCTCTGTTTTCTGAGTGCTGGGAGTAAAGGCATACAACACCAACTGCCTGGCAAAATTCATTTTTTAAAGTACCCAAATGGCACTTCTTGAGAGAAAAAAAATTAACCAGTGAGAATTTGGTTCAAATAAAAACTGTTGACATTCTGCATAATTTTATTCCATCTTCCATCGAAACTTACTTGGAGGCTTTGCTGAGTTTCTGTTGTGATGTGTAAGCAGAAAGAAATGAAAGGAAGGCTGGAGAGATGGCTCAGAGGTTAAGAGCAGTTACTGCTCTCCCAGAGGTCTTGAGCTCAATTCCTAGCAACCCCATGGTGGCTCATAACCATCCTTATTGAGATCTGGTGCCCTCTTCTGGCGGGCAAGCATCCATACAGGCAGAATGCTGCATCTATAACAATAAATAAATAAATCTAAAAAAACCCATTACTTCTGATTATCTGTTTAAAATAATATA